CCCGCCTCGGGCTCCGCCTCTCAGGCCAAGCCCTCCGATTGCCCTTAGCCAACGGCCGGGCGCGGCACCGCCCCCACGAGAGGAGGCCACGCGGCCGAGGCCGCCCCCTGCCGTCCCGGAGGCCGCAGAGCTGCCCGGCTGCTCGCAGCACTCTCCCTCATCCGGTCTGGGAACCCCACCACTTCGTTATGCTGCTGCACCCAGGGACTGTTAAGCCGTGGGAGCCACTTCCCAAACTAAATCAATTCCAACGCCTTCAAACCCCATGCGCCGGCTGACCTGGGAACAGTGTCAGAGCCTGGAAAGAAAAAAAGAGGGGCGGCAGTGAGAGGAAAACCGTTGGCATATCTCTTGAAGCACTGCTCCTAGTCCAGGAATCTGGTCAACGTTGTGTACTGGGCTTTTATTACAATTCTCAATATGTTATTAAGTTCACCCCAATATTAAGTGGCCATAAGCTTCCACTAGAAAAGGGATCGCTAGTTTTCCCGGAGAGTGGAACTAAGGGCGCTAATGTATCCTAAGAGCCCTAATTTATCCAAACTGGATTTTTAAAGGTGGTTTTAAAGGCACATTTTCAACTGGAAGGCAATGTCAAAACCTCAGGCTGTGGTGTGGATTAGATAATTTTAAAGTTGTCGTTTCTCTTTTAACTATCCGCCACGACACCATACTAGGAATTTAGGGTACAACGCAGAGCAGAGTGTCATACACACTGAAGCTTAGAGTAACAAGGAAAACTTCCACGTAAACAAATACATTTTCACAATGCAACCCAACAGTGACAGAACCATCTACAGAGACTTAGAGACACCGTGGAAGGAACAGTTATTGGAGAGTCAAGAGAGTTGATGATAGAGATCTCAGAGCTGTGTTTTTAAAGATTAATATGAGCTCCCAGGCAGAAAAGTCGGGAAAGCATGTCAAGCAATGCTGACTACATACGAGAGTACTTCAAAAAATTCATGGACAGATTTGTATTATCTCTTAACTCTATTTTTCCATGGACTTTTTGAAATACCTTCCTATTGCAAAGCCAAAGTAAAAGTACTGGCATTGGTGGAATGAAAATCTCAGGGAAGACTAAAGAGAAGTGAAGCTGAAGAGGTGCGTAGGGGCCAGGTTATGAAGGGCTGTGAGGCGATTTCTTTTCTCGAGCAAAAAAATTTATTAGGCATTTATACTAGAAATCAAGGATAAAACGATGAACACAGACTTGATCCCTGAGTCTTGAAACTCGGAATCTAGTGCGGATGGAGCGATGGAACGAAGAGGAAAGAACTAAAAAAAAAAAAAGTAAGTTAACAATGAAATAATTAAACATCGTATTAACTGTTGCGGGGGGAAATCAGGTTGCCGAGATCAATTCCACCTCGGGATAAAGGCGGTTGACAGCAGTGATGAAGATTTAACCGTAACCTATCGTAAGAACAGAGTACTGGACACTTTCAGAATACCAATGGCACATAATACACATCCAAGTATAGACGCTAACTTTTATAAACACGCCAAAAGAAGGACTGTAGCAGTCTACAAGACTCCATCTCCTCCTCGGAACCCTCGAGAACGCCCATCTGAAGGCGAAGTACCGAGCCGCCACGAGCCCGTAGGACTTTACGCATGTGCAGTGAGTCATCAGGATGTCATGTTTATCTTCCTCTCAATTAGCTTCCAAAACTACTTATGTCTCAATTTCTCCAGACACAGCTTACTTTTCAGTCTTTCAACAAACTTCATGGAAAGTACCCATAACCACACAAAAACTGTTCCCCCGCCCCCATTCTTAAGACTCCACCACTTTTAAGATGGCGGAGGCCGAGCCTGCGCAGTAGAACAAAGGAGGCTAATTCCAGTGTCTGGCAAAAAGGTTAACTTGCCCTTTTTCCGGCGCAGAAGGCTATACCATTCTCATACCCGATCGTTATGTTTGTCCTAACTCACGCATATAAGCTTTCTAGACAAGATGTTCTCATTTCTACCACAAGGTGACTCCTCTCTCTTTAACTATTTTTGTAACTGCTCTTTACGTCGTCGTGTCACCGAAGGGCCCCCACCATCCCCGAATGGTCTGTACCAACTTCACCTCCGGTTCTAGGTGTCATGGCTGCCTCGAGCGTCTAGTAAGGGTTTGCACCTGTGGTGGGGAGACTCTGAGGCCCCCACCCGAACACCTAGCAAGGTAAAGCTGGGTCTTGGTTGTGGAGGCGACAGCTTCTCCGACTCCTCGGCGATGGCGGCGTCCGGGAGCGGTATGGCCCAGAAAACCTGGGAACTGGCCAACAATATGCAGGAAGCCCAGAGTATCGATGAAATCTACAAATACGACAAGAAACAGCAGCAAGAAATCCTGGCGGCGAAGCCCTGGACTAAGGAGTGAGGGGGTCCCTGGCGAGTTGCATGGGAGAGAGAGGGTGGCGGGAGTTTAAGAGACCCAGGAGGAATGGGAGGTGAAGGGGTGAAGAGCTTGTCTTTTCACGGGCGGGGAGGAAAGAACATGCGCCAGAAAGATTTTGGTCTACTTTTATCTCTGCAAGGAGAGCCTAAGCCCCTCCGCTTTGGCCTGCTTCGACTGCCCTTTCTGTATCCTTAACCCATTTGCCTCAGGAGGATGTAAGGGTAGAACAACAAGTGGTGACTTAGGTTGTCTCTTCTCAACGTCCGTATTGTTATTTATGCCACACACTATACCTTTAACCCGGTGCCGACATAAACCTCGTTGGGGCCTTCAGCCGATCCCAGAGTGGGAACTGCAGCTGTTTTCAAAATGAGCCAGCATCCCAAGGGTATTGAAAATAGCTGTGAGCTATCTTTTAGAGATCTATAATCGTTTTAGGATTGCTAGTAATTATTTTAGAAGCACACCAAAGCTCTACACGGTCTCCAAAATGTTACTCCACCAGTTCACATAAGCCAGAAATTATAAAAAATAGAACTTAATGTTCTGCCCCTTAGCAAAATACATTTATCCCTGAGAATGATACGTCGAGGGCTCTTTACCCATAATATTTATCCTTTCCTGAGAGCAAATTTTGTTAAGGAGAGAGGGGAAAGAGCACAAAAGGACACTAATGGAGAGAGAGAAAAGAGAGTTGTGATAAACAACAGGGCATACTTCATCTGCCTCATAGTTTTTTACAAGGCTTCCTTTACCTGTCAGTATTCAGGTTCAGCAATGTTTGAGTGTTTAATATTGGCAAAGCACTGAGCTAGGGATTTCCATATGTCATTTAATCTTCATGACAACCCAGTACTGTGTTTTCACTCCTTTTTCGCTAATAAAAAAACAAGCAACTACATTAAGTAAACTTGCCTCATGATCACACTGAAGCAATGAACTCTTAAGTGAACAGTACTCAGACCTAAGATCAAATCTCACTACTGTCATTAACTAGTTGTTTGATGATCTTAGGAGATGTACTTATCCATCTTCATTTATCTGTAAAATGGAAATAAGACCTACCAATTGGTGATGTCATAAAGATTAGATGAGGTAATGTATGAAAAGGGTCTAGAATGTATGCACAGTAACTCTTGTCTATTTTCTTTTCCCGGGTAAAGGGAGGAGCCAAGATTTTAATTCATGTCTTGACTTCCAAGACCAAATCTCCATGTTTTTCAGCTTGTGGAAGAAATCTGGCAAAGCTTGGGAATTAAACTTGGATGCTTTGTGTGGGCAGACATCTAAAAGGCTTCTCAGACACATTGACCACTCTCTGCAGGCTAGTTAGGTTGCCTGTTTGTCTGCTTGCTTCTGTAGCAGGGTGTGTATTTTAGGTTGATGTAGTCTGTTAAGTATTTGGAAACTATCAGCTTGCCTCACTGATTGTGGCTCTAATTGTATTTATCCTAGCTGTCTTGAGCTGCATCAGTGAGATTAAAATGTAATTTTATTCAAGAGTAAAGTCACATCTACCTATTCAAACTCTGGAATAATGAT